CTTTCCCTGCAGTGAGACAGGAGCTGTAGGGAACAAATTTCACAAGGAGCCAAATGTGATTGATTTTTAACCCGTTATATAAGCCTCAGTAGGAGTTGGCCATATCCTAAAATGCATAGCTATGCATAAAATTAGGATTCTACAGATTTAAGTAATTAATTCTCTTGTTAGGTAGATCTTAAGATATTCTTATCTGTGTGGTTCCCCTTTAGGAGGTGTTTCATTAAACTATTTCCTTGTCCCACATTTGGCAGGTTGTACTGTACTGCCCATTTTGTAGCACTCTGGCTGGGTTAAACATGCCAGGGGGAATTGTCAACATGCAGTAATCTAAATCATAAACAAATCTCATGTGGCCGTTAACAATAGATTTTTCAAAAAGACATTAAATGTCATTAATCGGTTAATGCCTAGCTTATTGTCTTATTTTCAATATAATGCTAGACCGTGAACAGTCCCTGTTCCCCATATGTCTGTGACTCCCCTCTCCACATCACTGCCTGGTTTTTGGGCAAACCATAGTCAGTGATTTACATGTAAATCAGGCAAACCAGGACTGGAAACCCAAATAATACTGTAGTTTTCAGTTCTGGTTTCTAGGCAGACTCGGTTTGTGCAAACTTTAGTTTGCCCAGTTTGCTTGTAACAAGAAACTCTGGTTTGCTGCCACAGAGCAAGGAAATCACCATGTTGCTGAGAGAGGAGGAGAGGAGGAAGTGAGCAGGTGAACCTGAGCATGGGTTGGTGTTCTATCTCTGAATGGAGTCTTTGAAAGGAAATGGTAAGTGTTCTGCAGCCTTGAGCCACAAGGCAAGGTGGGTGATAAACATTTAGATAAACAAAGAGAAGTCATAGTAGGTATGTTAACCCATAGGGAAAGGGGAAAAACCCAAAAGTTTTTATTACCTTTTATTTGGTCTGTGACCGTCATAAATGTGTATTACCTTTTATTATGACCTAACAAAATACTAGGCAAACAGTCAGTGGAAACAATATTATCTAGGAGAAGAAACCTTCATAAGCAGAGAGGGACCCATCTTAGATCATCTTCCTTCAATTGAAGAACCCCACTCTTTAACAATTAAATTAAATCACAAAATAAAGATAATAGGTAACCATGTTGGTCTGCAGAAAAATCCCAATACAAAGGTTGTATAATAACTTCTATTTGGACCAACCAAAATATCACAATATTAATAGGTCACACGAGTGAGAGCCCACAAGGACTTGCAGGAGGCATGCCACTCCCCCCTCTCCCATTATTTCCTCTTAGGGCTGCCAAGTCCCCCCGGGGGGTGGATTTCCCCCTGCTTTGGAGGCCCGATTTCCGCTGCCGCGGAATCGGGCCCCGGGGGAAACCCCACCCCGGCGTGCATGTCAGCCAGAGGTGACGTGATGATGCCGGGCACGCTGGGGGCGGGGCCACAGCCATCTGAGGGGAAAACTCTATGTAGAAAAACAGGTTATTTACGAGTGGGAATCTACAAGGAATTGCAGGAGGCATCTCACTTCCCCCTCTCCTTCCTGAAAGCCCCCATAGTCTCTCCCCCTTTCCTGCTTCCTTCTCTCCTTCTAGGGTTGCCAACCTCCAGGTGATCTCTTGGAATCACAACAGATCTCCCAACTACAGAGATCAGTTCCCCTTAGGGTTGCCAGATCGAGGTTGGGAGATCATTGGAGATTTGGGAGTGGAACCTTGGGGAGGCAAAGTCTGGGGAGGGAAGCAACCTCAGCACAGTATAATGCCATAAAATCCACCCTCCAAAGTAGCCATTTTCTCCAGGGGAACTGATCTCTGTCACCTGGAGAACAGTTGTAATTCTGGGTGATCTTCAGCCTCCACCTGGAGGTTGGCAACTCAAGTTCCCCTGGAGGAAATAACTGCTTTGGAGGGTGGAGTCTATGGCATTATACCGCTCTGAGGTCTCCCCTCCTGAAACCCCAAACCTTTCCAGTCTCTCCCCCGCCCCATTTCTAGGAATTTCCTAACCTTTTCCCCTCCTCTTGGCAATTCCCATGTCCTCTCGCTGCCTCATTCTCTCCTTCTCAGCCATTCACTAAGCCACCTTTTATTGGCCTCCCATCTTCAGCTATATTTATTCTTTATATACTTCATTTAAACCCCACCTTTCTCCACAATGGGGACCAAAGTGGCTTACATTATTCTTTTTTCCTCCTTTTTAGCCACACATCAACCCTGGGTGGTAGGTTAAGCTGAAAGTATGTGGCTGGTCCAAAATCACCCAGTGAGCTTCCACAGCAAGATGGAGAGTCGAACCTGGGTCTTACAGACCCTACTCTGAAGCTATAACCAGTATACCACACAGGCTTTCATAGGGTGGCTGCTATTGGACAGTAGCAAGAAGCCAGGCCTAGTTTGGTCATGCATGACAAGTGGTATCAAGTCATCAAGAGGTTGCTTCCAGGCCTAGGATTGCCAGCCTCCATGTGTGACCTGGAAATATCCCAGAATTACGACTGAGCTCCAAACAACAGAGATCTGCCCCCCTGGAGAAAATTGCTGCCTTGGAGGGTGGACTCCATGGCATTCTATTCAGCTGAGGCCTCTCCCCTTTCCAAATCCTGCCTTCCTCAGATTCTGCCACAAAATCTCCAGGAATTTTCCTACCTGGAGCTGGCAACCCTAGGCCCAGGCCTGGCTGCAATGAAGGCCAAAATAGGCCTGGAAAGGGTCCTGCCCCTACCCCCTGCCTTGTATTGACAGAAGCCAGGCTGGCGTACTGTGGTTGCCTAGCAACAGCCACTGAGGGAATCTGTTGCTTAAAGCTACAGGCACTCCTTCTATAATTTTTGGATTTTTTAAGCTGCAAAGACTAGGTTTTTTTAGATTTCACATTTGTCTGCAAACCTAGGGCCATTTTCAGGTTGGTAGAAAGATCTGTTTTGCCTGTTAACAGCTCTAGTCACCAGATTTAAGTATCCAAAGACTTCGTTATTAGAATATAAGATGTGGAAATGTTGTTTATGGTTTTCCATCTTGATTTCCAAAATGGAGCTCACCCACCAGGAGTGGGTCGTGAATGCCCTTCCCTCCAATAATGACAGAGAGTTGCACACCAATGCCGTGCAGCTCTGAAGCCCCTATACTGCACTTTGACCATCATGGCTTTAACCTTTGCTGAAGAGATAAAGCTCAACTGTTGGTATGTGTTTTTTAGATTATGTAAATAGTTGCCTTATCAGCAGGCAGATCTCAGCAGTGCTGGTTTAGCTTCTGGGTAATAATGTTTTTGCAAACCTTCTGATAAACTGTCAAGAATAAATGACTGATTGCTACAATGTAAGTGTGTTCTGAGATTAAGATCTTGAGGCTCTCCGAATACAAATGAATGATAAAGATCCACTGTTGGGTATTGTCTTTATCATACTGTTATGATCTTGTCCCATATTTTATTAAGAATATCATAAATGCGAGGGATCTGAAGAACAGTAGCACAAGTAATCGTATTTACATTGTGATCAAGTAGAATCATGTCTTCAAGGACAACATACAGAAACCCTGTTTGTTTGTTTATTTAAATTGGTGGTACGAGCAACTATTTAACAGGGCTACTGCAAGAAATATGCAATTGCAGACCAAATTAGATCAAATGCTTAATTTGAAAACTTAATTGAAAATGTTTAATTTGAAAACTCAGTCCAGGTCTGCTCCAAGGGCCTCTGTGCATATCATATTTTTCAGTGCATCTAGAAATGAATGTACTCTTTTCAGAGAGCTTGGAGAGGCTGTGACTCTCTGAGTGTACAATCTGTAGCAATCAAGGGCTTCTGCAATGTGTAAAATGGCCCTACGATCCACAGGCCTATGGCGGAGTGGGATCAAAGGGAAAACATGGCTCTGGGGATCTCGGGGGCTGCATCAGTGCAACTGTCTTGTCTGGTTTGGCTTTTCCTTCGAAACCCAGATTGGTGACTGGTCAGTGTTATGTGTTAGCATGTCCTCCAGTATTTCACGGACACTCAGCCTTACTGAGTAAAACACAACAGGATATTTGTTTCTTGTAATGTCTTGTAATGTTATGAAGTATTCAAAATGTACTCCTCATACAAGACTGGTGTCAGCATACCCTGAGGTGGGACAGCTGCCAGGGCCCAGGACTTCTGGCACAGCCCACTACCACTGATCCCCACCCCCACACCTCTCCTGCCACCTGTCTGTACCCATTCTCCCAGCTGCCCAGAGTCATTGAGGAAAGGCATGTGGGTGGTGCACAGTGGTGACATTCCTGGTGGCAGTGGCAGGGGGTACAGGCAACTGAACATGGACAGTGGGAAGGCTTGCGAGCAGGAGTAGGATGCACAGCAGGTAGGGAGCATGCAGGTGTGGGGTGGAGGGGAGGGCATGAGGGAGCCCCTGGGCACTGTCTGCCCAGGGCCCCCCAAAACCTGGAACTGACCTTGTCCCCATCAGTTGTAATGTGTGAAATGCTGAGCTGGGCTCTACGTGATGCCTTAGTGTTCATCTGCATGCATTTACATGCACAAGAGACTCACTCCCTCTGTATCTGTTAAGTATTTATCCCATGGTGTATCTGAGTCGCTCATGGTACATACCTGGTTCTCTCCTCCTCTATTCCACAATCTTGAGATCCCTTCTTCCTTATAGTGACATCTCTAGTCATTCACACTAGTAACATGTTAAGATATCACAAGGGAGAAGACAGACACAATGATATACCAGGGACACAGACCAGAACACTGGGGCAGTTTTTTGGAAATACAAACAGTTGAACCATACCAATCGGCGGCGGCTGGTGTTCTCAACAATATCCGGGGATGGAACATGTCTTGCTAAAGAGAGGTGATTGCAAGCGTACCCAACAAGTGTGAGTTCAAGTCTGGAGTTCTTTTGAGTCACCTGTATGTAAAAATGTTTTCATGTGCTGGCACTTCAGTTGTGTAGTACATACCCTGGATGTGATACAGAAGCAAAGGGAGGAAACCAGGGCTATTTTGGGGCAGGAACGCACAGGAACGGAGTTCCAGCTGGCTCCCAAGTTGGCCACACCCAGCAGGAACTCATTAACATAACAGGCCACACCCAACAGCAGAAACTTTTTAGGACTGGCTACATTAGGGGTCTGTGGCCTAACATGCAAAGGGTTCCTGCTACAAAAAAAGCCCTGGGTTTTGACAAGGTAAACAAAATAAGAAGCAAAAGGTGGGTGTGGCTGGATGACCACACTTCTGGCAACATTGGGGTGTGGCCTAATATGTTAATATGATGTGCTATTAGGGGTGTGGCCTAATATGCTAATACGTTTCTGCTGTTGGGTGTGGCCTATTATGCTAATGAGTTCCTGCTGGGCTTTTTCTACAAAAAAAGCCCTGGAGGAAACTGATTTTGAACAAAAAGTATGTGGGTGTTTTTTTTAACATACTTGCTGTCCTAAATGCTGTCTGTTCAGTTTGGTCAGCAGTTTCCAAGTGCAGAGAAAGCCATACATATTTTCTTTTATCTTTTGGTAGCATTCAAACATGCTGTTCTTGTTCTGCAACATAACATTTGATGCTGTGATAGCAAGCCTTTCGACAGTAGCTCATACTCCTGACAGCTTAATTAACTGTGGATTCCTGACCTTTGCTCTGTAGGAATCAAAAACTGTGTGTACAGCCACATGCAAGCATGCACAGTGTACAGCAGGAAATCCTTTTCACCAAAGCTGCTGCAGGAACTGCCATATGTCACACTGTGGGATGTCCCACAAGTATTAATCTAAGGATTTTTAAAGATGCTGGGGATATCTAGGTTTAAATAACTGCTCAGTCATGAAGCTCAGTTGTCACTACCTCACAGCCACACCTACCTCATGGGGCTGTTGTAAAAATAAAATGATGTGGAAATGGTGCCATGAGCTCCTTGGAGAAAGGGTGCAACTGTAAATGTGGTAGGAAAGTAAACAGACAAGGAGTCCAGACCATCCAAAGACTGTGTAGGTGAGCATTTTTCATAGATAATGTATTAATCTCTATGAGTTAAATCCGCATACAATTCCATAGGAATAAACAATGCTTTTGAAGGAAATTCATATTTCACTTTTAGAATGATACATGTGCATATTGTAGCAGGCACCACTTTAGAAGAGGTGTTTTCTTTTCAGTGTCATGCTGCATGGAAAGCCTCTCTTGACATTGCTCTCTTTTGACATTGCCGATTAAGGCCACTGCCTGGTGAAATTAGGTTGGGAGTTGCATTGCATGAAGTTATTTGTGGTCTATAGGCTTTAGAGGTACAATTAGGCTGGTTCTGCAGGAAATGAATCTTTGCTTTAGCTTCCATTATCCTCAGAGGGTCAGGTGAATTTAGTCCCACTTGGATGATGGTCCTCAGTGTTGCTGTACATTGTAGCCTGGCTGCCAGGGTGTCCGGGTCAAAGCACGAGCAGCACACCATTTACCTGATAAATAAACAATAAAGTTGGCAATGGGTGGTAGATGTTGGTGGTTTCCATACCATTTTGGGTTACAAGTTATTAATCATGAAGTGGTTCAGTATTGGAAGAGACCAGTGAGCTTTTTGCCTTGCGACAGCCTTCTGGCTTGGCTCCAGTGATGTGAGAGCAGAAGCAGATGCATGCTGAGTGTGATTCCTCTTCCACAAGGGTTGCAGGAACAGTTAGTGCTTCAGCATAATTTCTAATGAAGTAACAGTGTGCACATGAAGCAATGGAACGTATAACATGAGGTTCATATTATTGTATTTTAATTTGTTTTTTAAATTGTATTTGAAGAAACATCTTGCCTTATGTTTTGCACACATAGAATAGAACGGTAGGGATGCGAGTCCTCTCGTATACTGCAAACAGCCAGCAAGGAATGCTTTGACCAGTTCCAGAAGAAGAGTGGGTTTTTATACACCACTTTTCTCTACCTGAAGGAGTCTCAGACCAATTCCCTACAAGCTGCTGCTCTGCCCTTGTTCCTCCCTTTACCCCGATCGTATGTGTCAATTTCCCACTGTTTGCTAAGCGGCCGCATTTTGCCCTGCAGCTTCACCAAATTTTCCCCGCGTCTACTCGATCCTGTTTTTTGAGGATTGAGTAGACACGAGGGAAATCAGGCGAAGCTGTGGGGCAAAATACAGCCATTCAGCAAATAGTGGGAAATTGACACATACAATCAAGGTAAAGGGAAGAGTGAGGGTAGAGCAGCGGCTTGTGGGAAATCGGTCTCAAACTGGCTTACAATTGCCTTCCCTTCCTCTCCCCACAACAGTCACCTCATGAGATAGGTGGGGCTGAGAGAGCTGAGAGAAATGTGACTGGCCCAAGATCACCCAGCAGGCTTCATGTGGAGGAGCGGGGAATCAAACCCAGTTCTTCAAATTAGAGTCTGCCACTCTTAACCACTACGCCACACTGGCTCTCCACTGGTTCAAGGACTGTTGCATTCATTAAAATCTGTGGAATCCAACCTTCTAACTACCCTCTCCCACTGGCTCTCCAGGCCAGTTAACTTGCAGAACCTACATATCTGCAGGCCATAGAACAGGTTTATCCTGTAAGGCATCTGCAGATCAGTAGTACTGGATGACTAAAGCAAGTAAAGGCTCATACTATAGGGCACTGTAGTGCTGTGGTGCCTGCCAATGTCTTCCTGGCCAAAGAAGGTAATATTGGGCACAATACTAATGGCTAGATAAAGTCAGCATCATCACATGTTAATATAATATGAACAGTTGGTGCATGCCTTATTTATTTATTTATTTTATTCCACTTATACCCCGCCCTCCCCACACGCGGGCTCAGGGCGGCTTACATAGGCACAACTGTGCAATAAAATACAACAGGATTAAACAGTTAAGGCACCAAGTGCAATGAAAATAGAACAAGTTAAAACAATTAAGACAAAACTCACATCTTGCAGTATACAGTAACACTAAAATACTCACTCCCTATTGTATATCACGGTGGGATCAAAGAGGGGGGATGCCCTGGGTCAAGATGTTCCAGGTGGCCAGTCGGCCCAACCCGGTGGTCCTGCTCTGCAAATACTTGGTGGTGGTGGTGACGGCGGTGGCTCCTACTAAAAAGCCTGGCGGAAGAGCTCCATCTTGCAGGCCCTGCGGAACTTTAAGAGGTCCCGCAGGGCCCTGATCTCCTCCGGGAGCTCATTCCACCAGTTAGGAGCCACCACCAAAAAGGACCTGGCCCTTGTGGAGAAAACAGGCACTGAAGTTATTAAATAGACATAGGTATAAGGAGGTAGGTAGTGCAACAGAAATCACCCCGATATGTAAATGAAATGCAGCAGCATTGTCTGCATGGTTGCAATTAAGTAGTGCTCTAATGTAGTGTTTTAATTAGCAGTACTCTTCTCCTTGTGGCAAAAAGGAGATAAATGTTTGTGGATTTGTCAGTGCCTTTTGCAATAGCCGATGTTGGCACCAGCCCTGGAGTGCCTAGGTGCATGTAATGATGAAAATTTGGTATTTTCATAGCTGAATTTAGAAAATCAGAAAAGGAGTGGCAGAAAAGGGTGGAGAAGATGATCTGGGCATTAAGCATTTTAAACGCTGCTTTGATTTGAATTTATTTTAGTAAATCTAAGAATGAAGTCACCCTGGAGAAAGCTGGGGGGATGCTTTTTTGATATTGTATTTTTTTTTTTAAGTTCAAGCAGTAGGCCTCTGTAAAGTACATACTCTGACTGCAGTGGAAATAAAACGTATGCAATCCATTCTGAAATCGTGCCTCTTCATAAGCAGCATTCATTATTAGCCAGTTTTGACCAGCTGTGGTTAATGAACGTGGTTTCTTTCATTAGCCAATGCCGTATATTTTACTGAGACTGTTAAAGCTTTTACACACTACCTTTTCTGGCTGGAGTGGTTACATTGTTATTATACAACACTTATTTAATAATGTGTGCATTACAAGAAAATAGTAACCAGAAACATGAGAAGAAGATGTAATATTGAGTCCAGACTACAACACTTCCTCAGCCTTAGAATCTTCTGCAAGGCTCAGGGTTCAATGGCTAGACTTGCCAAGTCCCCCTGGGGGGCAGGGAAACCCCCGCCCTAGAGGTCCATTACCCGCTGCCGGTGGATAGGGCCCGGGGGAACCCCACCCCCAAAGGACGTGACGTGCCCGGCGTCAGCATGTCACCCGGAAGTGACGCGGGCGCGCCGGGGGCAGGGTTGCGGTCATCCAAGGGAAAATATGTTGGGATTCATCCTTTGACTTCCTGGATTATCTCTTGACCTTATCTGTGGTGTGGGGACAGTACTTAGTGGAAAAGGTTAGTGTTTAGTGGGAAAGTTTGTGTGGAATGAAGAGCATCAGCAGTACAGACTGTTGGGCAGGTATGGCAGAAGCTGAAGGGGGAATGACAGTGGCTTGAGGTGTTCTAGACTCAGTTATGTGCTCTTATGTCACAAAAGGGGTAAGAGTCAAGAAATAAGTTGTGGTAGAAATCTGAGGTGGTCTGTGGTCAGGAGGCCTTCCATACCTGTGTTCCAGATGATGGAAGCCATACAGATTGTGCTGTATTACATAGCTCTTAACGCCAAACATGTCTTCCACCATAGATATTTTGTGTTCAATTACCATTATCTGTTCCTTTGTTTTGAAGAATCCAAACAATGTCATCACCAAATAATTAGGTTACAGGGTTTTCCATGCTGTTTTCTTGTGGCTTAAAGACCACATTTGTGGTAATTTGTTAAAGAAAAAAAACACCCTTGAATGCTATGGCAGTAGTTTGTTTAGTGTTGATAGTTTAGTTGAAAGCATAGCAAAGAACAAATAAAAGAGCTGGTAGCCACAGGCAACACAATCCACTGTAAATTCTGGATTCCTAAACACATTTTATAGACAGTAAGTCAATGGAATCAAATGGAACTTCTGAATAGACTTGAATCATTTATGAAATCATAAATGATTCAGGTCTACTCAGAAACATGAAATCATAGCTCCAGTACGGTTTCCAGTTAGAACTGGGGAAAAAGGGGTGCTCTAGGATTTGGAACAAAGATCATTCTGTCTCATGGGCAGAGCTCCTGTCTCTCTAAAACATTATCTGCATTTCATTTGGCCTTTGAACAGCATATCAGATCTTTGTGAACAGATACATTAGAACAGTTTCCAGTTAAAACTGGAAAGAAGGGGTGCTCTAGGATTTGGAATGAAGATCATTCTGTCTCATGGCCAGAGCTCCTGTCTCTCTAAAATATTATCTGCATTTCATTTCATTTGGCCTTTGAACAGCATGTCAGATCTTTGTGAACAGATACATTAGAAAAACTGTGGTAAGCCATTCGGAGTCCATGGTAGGGTTGCCAGGTCCCATCTTCTCCCTGGTGGGGGGATTTGGGGGGCATTCTGGGAAGGGGCAGGACCGTCCCCAACACGATGACATCATGCAAAGTGACGTCATCACATCAGGGATGCAGCACCGTGCATGCATGTGCCACACTTTCCCCCAACCATGTAAAGGGAGTAAAGGTAAAGATAAAGGTTTCCCTTGCTTGAAAGCTAGTCAAATCTGACTCTAGGGGGCAGTGCTCATCTCCGTTTCCAAGCTGAAGAGCCAGTGCTGTCTGAAGACACTTCTGTGATCATGTGGCCAGCATGACTAAATGCTGAGGCGCACAGAACGCTGTTACCTTCCTACCAAAGCGGTACCTATTTATCTACTTGCAATTTCTTGCTTTCAAACAAAAAGTGGATACCAAGCATGGCAGCTCTACAAGCCACGAATTTTCAGCTTACAGGGCAGGAGCCGGCAGCCCTCATTTGAAAAGAGTGAATTTTCAACTTGCAGGGCAGGCACACGCGACGCCCACTCTTTTCAAGTGGGACCATGGATGACTGTTGGGGGCAGTGGATTGGGGATCCCCCACTCCCACCTGGAACAGAGCAGGATACAAGTCAAATACATAAATAGTGGGGGAGGTATCTTTGGAAGGTAATAGATAATCTATCTGTTTTTGATTCCTGTTGGTAAAACCAGCCTCCTTTTTCAAGAATGTCCATGCATCTCTGTCTTGTGATTTCAATGCAAAATCTGGTGTCCTCTGATGTTTAGCTAAATATATGGACTGCCTGTATTGAAATATATTGAATGCTTAGGTGGTATGTTGCTTGATCCCTCAGAAGATGAGCTTTAGCATAATAACTGAGCACATGCTTTGTGTACAGGTTCAGTCCCTGATATCTCCCTCTGGAAGGACCTCTGGTAGCTATAGCAGCAGAAAAGACCTTGGAATGGCATCTTAGAACGGAGTCTGTGATCCTGAGCTAAAAAGGGCCAATGGTCTGGCCCCACATAAGGTAGCTTCACATAGAAGTTCCATCTGCAGTGATTGATCTGTGGTGGCTATCTTTCCCACAGGCAAAATATCCTGCAATAACTGAGTGGTGAATAAGGTTGCATTGCAACTCTCTAATTATGGTACATAATCCAACTAAAGCAGACCCATCTGAGTAAATACATTTGTTCTTCAAGAGTATTATTTGTTTCTCAAGATTATTTTTTCCCTTTTGCATACATAGGAGCAGTTCTGAAAGGAGGAAGGAAAAATCAAGAGATGCTGCAAGATGCAGGAGAAGCAAAGAGACTGAAGTATTCTATGAGCTGGCCCATGAACTGCCTTTACCTCACAATATTAGTTCACACCTGGACAAGGCATCTATAATGCGTCTTGCAATCAGTTTCTTGCGGACACACAAGCTGTTGTCTTCAGGTAAGCCTTGCAAGGAAAACTTGGTTAATTACCCAATGGATGTAGTAAAAAGTTCAATGGTCCACGGCCCTAGTCCAACCCTAAAGGGTGTCCCATTTTGGAACCTTGTTTTCAAGGACCTTCCCATATTGTGTATCTCAACCAGTTTCTTCCAGATGAGCTAAGACACAGCCAAAGGGGTCTTCAACTCACTGTACCCTCGGGTGATTCTTTTGGCAAAGGCCTCACTGTTCACTCTGACAAAGGACTCTTTCGTTCCCCCCCACAAAGTGTTTAAGGAGAGGATTCTGCCAAAACATTTGATTTTGTTCACTTAGTGGGAAGAGGTTAAAAAAGCCCTTTATCTTTGTCTTGGCTCATGCCTGAGTCAGGAGATGAGGCCAACATTGCCAGTTCAGCCCTTTCTCAATTTAAAATATTCCTCTGTATTAAAAATGAATTGCCAACCATGGCCGTAGTACAGGTACTATTTTTCCTAAGCAGAGAAGGTTAAAGAGAAAGTGGGCCGTTAAGTATATATTATGGAATACTACCAGTTATCACTTTAAGAACTTTGCATTACACATTTCAGCATCTACTGTGGTAAGCAAATCATGATGTCATACTGAGCTTGCTATTGTGGGACCTGGGTTCAAATCCCCACTCTACCATTAAGCTCACTAAGTAACCTTTGAAAAACCTCCTGCTCTCATTTGCAATCTGCGAGGTTATATGAAGGTTAGATAACCCTGTGTACACTGTCCTAAGTAGCTTTGAGGAAAGGGCAGGGTTAAATAAATAAATGTATTGCCAAATAGCAAAATAAAGGCAGAAAATCTGGTACTGCTTCACCAAAGGTACATCTAAAAATGAAACCTGGATAATTTTAATTAAAACCAATTAAAAGATTTCAAGCTTGAAGAGTTTAACCCTAATTAAAATACCAAAGTTTATAAATCACAAAAGATTTCCATGCTGGAACAAGCAAATCCCAATTTGACAGGGAAAAAACATGATTGCACAACTACCCTGAGAAGGCAGCTGGGTAGTCCAAAGGCCTCGCTTAAACCAGATTATGTATATAGACAAGCTGCCTTTCTGACCACATGTGCCTCGCTGCTGGTCATGACTAGCCTGTAAGCCCTGCTAGCTAATATACTGTGGGGGGAGGAGGAGGGGAGAGGTGTGAAGGGAAACAAATCTATGGTAGGTCCATTGCGTGAATATTTCTGCCTCTTGTTTTACTTCTGCCTTTTGTTTTACATACTCTTGAAAATTGGGTATCGCTTCATCTTGCAAATTTCTATACACAGCAAAAGACACTGCATGCAGCCTAACCTTGTGGATGGTGCCCTATGGCCCAGATACTGCTGTCCCATAACATCTAATCTGAGGAAGTGTGCTTGCACATGAAAGCTCACACCTTGAATAAACCTTTGTTGGTCTTAAAGGTGCCCCATTGGACTAGCTAACTTTGTTCTGCTGCTTCAGACCAACACAGCTACCCGCCTGAATCTATCTAGTCTACTAGATGACCTTCCTTGATACAAAAAAGGAAATGGAGATTCTGGCTTAGAAGAGGCCACCCACATTGTTCAGCACAGAGGAGCCAAAATAGAACTTGATAAGACGGTTTGATTACGCATGCAAGCCTTATGTTAAAATATTTAATGACAGGTTTGTATCAAGTAATTGCTGTGGGTATGTAGTGTGCTGTAAATGACACCACTTGCACTCCTCCATCCCCCTAGTTGTTGCCCATGTGCAATTGAAAGCTAGACTCGGTATGAAGCTGTGTGTTTCATGGTATCTCACCATCCGTGTCTCCCAAAGGAATTGAGGCTTTTGGCTTCATATCAATGGTTGCTGCTCAGGCAGAAGTGAAAAAATACCCATCAGTTGCTTAACAGCATACACTAATTAATTTACAACATAGACAGATATTAAACTTGCCTCTGCTCTCGAGCAGTACCAAAATTATAATGCGTGTGGCAGATCAGCTTTTGAAACCCTACCAGCAAGCACTCTGATTGCAATGAGTTCACCCTCCTAGAAGCCAGAAAGAGTTAGAATGTTGAACACACACAGCTTTCTTTCAAGGCATTCAGGCCTCTATAGGACTTTGGCCAGACTTTTCCCCAAGAAACTCTTAGGTGTGTCCATATTGCACCTTCATCATGATGCCTGTTTTGTGATTATTATTTTTTTAAAAACAACAACAACACTGAACTAGAAAAGTAGGGAAGTCGCATCTGGAAAATAGGCAGAAATCTTTCTGTGTGTTTGTGCAACAAATTATAACAAACCCTAAGGCACACTGCTGCTCTTAGAATATGCTGTGATTCAGTGGGGCTTCCCACACGCTTCTGTGGCATCCTGATGCTGACTCTTCCTAGGCCCTGCATGCATGGATCTCTTCTGCACTTGGATCTGCTGGGAGTAGTCTGTGCATCGGGGAAGGAGTAGTGGCTAGATGCTGACGGTGAAGACACGCGTGGGTCCTTGACTGCAGTCCATGCTGAGTCACAATTGAAGTGCAACCACATGTCACCAATGCTCCCTCTAAACTGTGGAGGCTTGTGAGCAAAAATTCTAGTTTGTGAGCTACTGGCATTAAAGTTGTGACCGAGTGATTTGGCTGCTACATAAATGTTTGCTCTGGAGCCATCCTTCCTGAGTGAAGACAAAAATGTGTGAGCCGGAGGCTAAAAAACTGTGAGCTAGCTCACACGAACTCAGCTTAGAGGGAACACTGCATGTCACACCTGTAGACAGTCAGTGAGAAAGGGAACTGTGTTACGACATGGCCATGTGGAACATGCTCCATTCTTCTCTCTGTGGGCACAGGATTGCACTTCCAGTCATCAAGAGGGGACCTGGTTTAAACAGGATGATAGTGAGCAAAATAACTCACCTGTGCTGTGCGGCTTTGTGCATCTCATTTAAATGGGGCTGGTACCGATGCAAAGCAGCTGCATGTGCCTTAGCTTGCCAGTGCATCACCCTCCCAGGCTTGGTATCTCTGGTGTACTAACGAAGCACGTGATACACGTGGAGCAACCCAGTTTAAATGAGACACAGGGCAAGCACAAAGTCTCACCACTGAATTCTTTTTGCATTGCCAGCATCTAATTTAAACCTTGCCTTGGGTTAGAATGCTGAGGCAGAGGATTGGTGGTAAAACGCCACTCCAGGCTGGCATATGCCATTTTTTAAAATGTCCCATCAGGGAAAACAACAGCCATCACCACCTTCCTGCACATTAAGGAGAAAGGTTGTAGCTCAGATTGCGTCTTGCTGTGCAAGATTTTTTTTGGTTTAGAAAAAAGAATTATAACTAGAGAAGGAAGCAGTGTATTCAATAAATAAATAAATATTCCTGTGGTGCATTCTGGCTTGCAAGTACAGCATGTGACCCTCAAAGGATGGGGCCACATTTCTCTTGTAGAAGTCTATCGCCACTACCGATTTCTCTGTTCATGATCCGTGGCAATCCCACATTGGAACGCACATAAACACACCCCCACGCCTTTCCAGGAAGAAGAAGAGGAGGAGGAGGAGGAGACTGGATTTATACCCTGCCCTTCACTACCCAAAGAAGTCTCAGAGCAGCTTACAATCTCCTTTTCCTTCCCCTCCCCACAACAGACACCCTGTGAGGTAGGTGGAGCTGAAAGAGCTCTTTCGAGAACTGCCCTTGAGAGAACAGCTCTGAGAGAACTTGTGACTGACCCAAGGTCACACCAGCAGCTGCATGTGGAGGAGTGGGGAATCAAACCCGGTTCTCCCAGATTAGAGTCTGTGCACTTAACCACTACGTCAAACTGGAATTAGTGACATGAATTAGTAAACTATTAATCTCTTTGCTGTTCGGAAAGAATGCTGCTTTTGAATAGCTCAAATGGCAGATGTTAAATCATCATGAATAAAAGGATTTCATCATCCTTCAGGCTAAGCGCTTAAGCGGGGTGGAAATTAAACAGTTTGGATTGCAACAATAACAAAAATCAGGCTTGCGTTATTTCCTATTCTTTCAAGAGCATCCTCTCTCAAAGTTTATCTTTTCCTAAGCTTGATCTGTCTGAGTTGATTTTTCCAGCACAAGCAACATTCTTTGTTTGGGCAGCACTGCACTTCTGCCATTATTTGAGCCCTGCAAAGGGGTTTCCCCCGATGTGACCAGATCTCGGGATGGTGTGTAAATGCATCAAGTGGGTGGAGGGTGGAGGTTATTATACTTCAGAAGTAAAAACTCTTGTGTATATACTCTCATTTACAGAAAAAAGTAAAATATGTTAGGAAAAGTGCAGGGGGAAATAGTTGATGCACTTGTGTTTAATTCACACAATATCGCATTCAACTCCTGGCCCTGGATTTTAAATTCCTCTATACTATTTATAGGGAGTCTAAATCCCATGTATTCATATTGCACAGACATCACTTAAAGGTTTGGATTTGGTTTTTGAGTCGTTCTGTGATCGGAAAGGTTTGTCCCATGCCTTGGAGTTCAAAAGAGTGCAACATAACATATTTTGCTTTATTATGATCCCTTCTTTACTTAGTAACCCATTTCCCTTTGATTTTCACAGTAGGCAGCTATGGGCGAGAATTCTGGGAAGGAAGCCTTCAACATGTTGGTCTGGTGGACTGACTGAGATTACTATCGCAGGAAGCTAACTGGAACAATAGCTGTACAATATTGTTTCCATTTTGTGCATGGTGTACTTGAAGGCTTGCTACCTTCCCCCCCGCTCTGTTCACAGAGTTTATGCGCATTCACAATGAAATAACAGCTAGAAATGAAAGGTGTGGCCTTTTTCAGTATGTACATGTGAAACTGTGGGGAAAGTTTCATCTATTCAGTTTCTCTCTGCTGTGTATCAGAGGCATGGAGGGGGTCAAAAAGATAGTTATTCCAGCAGTTAGTCAAGTGAACAAAAAAAATCTATTGAATATTAAAATTGGTGTGACTTCTGATGCTCTTAAACATGCTGGGTGAAAGGAAATGCATCCTCTTCCCA